GGGGGGGGGAGGGGGGGGAGCCGCAAAAACTTGACCTTAAAACTTACACTCACTATTTTCTTCGAAAATATATGTGAGTTCCACAAAAGTCAAACAAGAATTAAACATACTTTTAGTAAGATAAACAAATGGATCAAATTGTTTATAAATACGATAGACATATTGGTACAGCACTTTTAACACTAATACATGATTCATCATCACTTTTTATCGTACCATCCATATTAAGTATATATCTAATCGGAAAAAAATATAATTGATTAACAAGTTTAGCAGCTTATCGTTCGTTTTTCATTATTAATCATTGATGTTGAATCGAATTCATCATTCATTTCAATAAAACAACATTGATATGTTGAATAAGCTATTGTTTTAGAAAAAAAAACAAATGAAAAAAATTCTTGTTTTTTTTTCTCAATATTTACCTGTTTTTAAGGCTTCACTGACACGAATTTCTTCTATAGATCCAATTGGGGTTGAAATTAATAATTGATCAAAATCAAATAAATTTGAATATTTAAGTATAATTTCATGTGTTTCCAATGAACTTGATACAACATTATGATCATTATGTTGTAAAAAAATATAACATACCATATCAACACACTAAAAAAATATTTACATTGAAATTAAAATCATTCATTATTTGTTGAATACTGATTGAAAGATGTTATTCATTTGTATCAATATTTTTTACTTCTATTCATTGATTGTTGATTATTGCTTGATTATGATTGAAATTCTTAGATATTTAAACCAAATAATTGAGGGTCGGGATGTGTAGGAATAAGCAATACAAACACTCACACCCACTTCTCAAAATGCCTGAGTCTTCTTAAAGCACATTCGCCATACTTTCTTCGGATGCATCTAACGAAGTTTGAGTGATAAATAGAGTTTTTCATACATCGAACGATAAAATAAAAAATATAAAATTTTTCATTTATTTATTTTGAAGCTTTCAACACTACTTCTATAATTATCAATTTCAAAAAAAATTTTACGATAGAAAATATTTATATAGAGATTAGAATAAAGTTCAAAGTCTAATGAATCATCATAACTCAAATTTACGCTTATACAAGCATCAGTGTATTTTTTATCATTGCAACAACACGAAACGCAAAGGTAAGGTAAAAAAAGGAAGAAGTAGAATATATGAAAAACGAAACGTATTTTATGACGAACACATGGTCGAAAAAGTCGTTTACATGATGAAAAAGTCATGCTTCATTGATTCATGCAAATATACGTTTGTGGGAAAAAACCAAGTAATTTTGTCAATAATAAATACAGAATAAAATCGATTGCAAGCACACAAAACAAAATTTGCTACACTCCAATATTACATAGCACGTAAGTGTATTTAGTTTCTAACATTATTAGACTAGTAAGAAAATTAAAGTGAAAAGTAAAGAGTAGCTACACACAAAAAAAAATGACGGTACATAAACATGTGTTATTTTTATGTTTATAAAGTAGTTTTACGAGAACTTCGCTTGATGATACATGCAATCGATTGTCTTGGTTGCAGAATCTTGTATGTATAAAACAATCTTATTGTAAAACATATTAAATAGAGTAACTGTTTGTGTGCATACATTTCAACGCGAGTACCAGTAATGAAAGGCACAATTTTTACTTTTAGAAATATTCTTTTTCTGGTCTACCGACTAATCTGGCCTGATTAGATAGAGAAACGGGTTAGACATGTCGAAGTTTGAGGACATTCTGGACTAATTCAGACGTAGCTGCAGGAGTTTTCATGTCAGGATAACTAG